CTTATAATTGTTTGTATTTCTATGGTGTCAGTTGTTACTTCTTTTTCATTTCTGATTTTATTTATTTGGGCCTCCCCTTTTTTCTTTATGAGTCTGGTTAAATATTTGTCAATCTTGTTTATCTATCCACAGAACCAGCTCTTAGTTTCATTGATTTTTTTTTGTATTTTTAGACTCTATTACACTTATTTCAGCTCTGATTTTTATTATTTCCTTTCTAATACTCACTTGGGGTTTTCTAGCTCTTTTAACTATAAGGTTAGATTGTTTATTTGAACTTTTTTGTTTCTTGAAGTAGACTTTTGATGGCATGAATTTCAATCTTAGAATTGTTTTTTCTATTACTCCTAGATTTTGGGTTGTTGTGTTCTCATTTTCATTTGTTTCAAAGTATTTTTTGTTTTCTTCCTTGGACTCCTTGTTAACTGATTTGTTGTTTAATAACATGTTATTTAGCCTTTATGTTTTTGTGTATTTTTCAGTTTTCTTGTGATTGATTCTTAGTTCTGTACTATAATGGTCAGAGAAGATGCTTGATATGATTTGAATCTTCTTAAATTTATTTAGAACTGTTTTGTGTCCTAATACATGGTCTATTGTAGAAAATGTTCCAAGTGCACTTAGAAGCAATGTAAGTGCTGCTGTCTTGGAAAATGCTCTGAAGATATTAGTTAAATCCATCTTATCTAGCATGTCATTTAAGAATGCTATTCCTTGTTGATTTTCTGTTTATATTATATATCCATTCATGTCAATGGAGTGTTAAAATCCCCTACTATGATTTTATTTCTGTCAATCTCTCCCTTTATGTCTATAAAGAATTGCATTATATATCTAGGTGCCTCTATATTATGTGCATAAATGTTTACAAGGTTTATATTCTCTTGGATTGACCTACTTATCATTATGTAGTGCCCTTTTTTCTCTCTTATTATTACTCCCATTTTAAAGTCTACTTTGTCCAACATAAGTATTATACATCAGATTTTTATTTCCATTTTCATGAAATATCTTTTTCCAACCTTCTATATTTAGTGTGTGTGTCTTTTGTTCTGAGTTGGGTCTCTTGTAGACAGCTTATACATGGGTCATATTTTCTTATCTATTTAACTATCCTATGTCTTTTGATTGGAGCATTTAAATCATTTGCATTTAAAGTGATTATTTATAGGTATGTATTTATTTCCATTTTATTTTCTATAACTGTGTTCCTCTTTTTTCTTTCTATATCTTAAAGAAAACCCTTTAACATTTCTTACAATATTGTTTTGGTGGTAATAAACTCCTTTAGCCACTTCTTGTCTGGGAAGCTTTTTATTTCTTCTTTAATTTTAAATGCTAGTCTTGCTGGGTAAAGTAGTCTTGGTTGTAGGTCCTTCCTTGTCATCACTTTGAACATTTTGTGCCAATCCCTTCTGGCCTATAATGTTTCTATTGAAAAATCAGCTGACAGTCTTATGGGAGCTCTCTTTTAAGCAATTAACTGTCTTTCTCTCATTGCTTTTAAAATTTTTACTTTGTCTTTAACCTTTGCCTTATTAATATGATGTGTCTTGGTGTGGACCTCTTTGGGTTCATCTTGTTGGGATTATCTTCACTTTCTGGTCTTGTGTGTCTTTTTCCTTCACCAGGTTGGGGAACTATTCAGTCATTATTTCTTCATATAATTTCTTGATTCTTTGCTCGCTCTATTCTCCTTTTGGTAGCCATATAATGCAAATGTTGTTATGCTTCATATCGTCCCAAAGGACTCTTAAACTATCCTCATTTTTAAAATTCCCCTTTCTTTTTGCTGCTCTGATAAGGTCTGGTCTATTACATTACCTTATCTTTCAAATGACTGATTCTATCTTCTGCTTTATGCAACCTGCTGTTTATTCCTCCTAGTGTATTCTTCATTTCACAAGCTGTGTCTTTCTAACTGGTTATTTTTTTATGGTTTGTATGTCCTTTTTCATGCTGTTGAAGTTCTCACTAAATTCTTTGTGCATTCTATTAGCCATTGTTTTGAACTCTATAAGCTAGCAGATTGGTTGCCTCCATTTCATTTAGCTCGAAAAGAGGGGGAAACTGGAGAGTTCTCCTGTTCTTTCATTTGGGGTATATTTCTTTTTCTAACCATTTTCGCTGCCTTTTTTGTGTTTGTTTCTGTGTACTAGATAGTCTGGTATGTTTCCCAGTCTTATTAGGGTGGCCTTATGTTGTAGATCCTTTGGGAGCCAGTGGCACAGTGCCTTTAATTACCTAAGCTGTGATTCCCAGAAATTTCCCTTGTGTGGGTTATGTGAGCCTCCTTTTGTAATTGGGTCTTGACTATTTGCCTATTTGTGAGTGGGGTCAATGCTCATGCCAGCTGACTGTGAGGATTGACCCTGACCACAATGCTGTGCAGGGGCTAACCACAGAAAACAGAATTTGCTTCAGCAGTGTCTAGTACCTGCTGATATCTTCCTTTCTATGTGTTGCTTATGGAGCTAATTAGAACCGGTTCTGACATTGTCTGAAGCTTGCCTCTTGGTGTGTTTGTTGTGGGGTGTCATGAGCAGGACTGTGGTGAGGGTCAATGTCAGGTGCTGTGGCTGGACATGGGCAACCTGTATGGAACTGCAAAGCAATCTGCAGTTTGTGGCTGCCTTTTCTGGGCCTGGGTATATGTGTGAAGGATTAAGTTGCTCACTAAGGCTTTCTTCCACCAGGTCCAACCCTAGGGACATGTCAGCAAAAGGCTCAAGGTACCCTGATATCCACCTCTGCCTTCCTCTACCTGCTGGCTGCCTGTTAGTATCAATCACTGAAAGAGCTTTTGATGGTACTAGAGTTGCATGAGGTAGGTTCTTAGTGAGTTAGCAAGTAGAGGTAAGTGGTGTTCAACAGGCTGATACAGGTTCAAGCTCAGTGCCAGTGCTACATCTGGGGCCACTGAGCAAAAGTCTCAGGGTAACCCTGACCAGTGTGTCTCAGTGGGTTGGGTATCACCCTGCAAAGTGAAAGGTCATTGGACCAATTCCAAGTCAGGGCACATGCCTGGGTTGAGGGCCAGGTCCCCAGCTGGGAATGTGTGAGGGGCAATCAATCAATATCTGTCTTGCACATCGATGTTTCTCTCCCTCTCTATTCTCTCCTCTCTAAAAATAAATACAATCTTTAAAAAAGTATCAGTGGATTCTAAACTTAGCTGCCACCTGTCAGGTGGCCTCAGATCTTTGAGGTATGGCAGGGTCTCAGGGACTCATCAGAGTGAGGCCAGCAGAGTTTATCAGGCCCCAAAAGACCAAGATTTGGATGTGTGAAGGAAGGGCCTGCATTAGTCAGGTGTGCAAGAAAAAAATGGTCCCTGTCCTAGAACCACACAACTCAGTTTGTCCTGAATTCTGCCAGGACCTCCTGGAGAGCGTGAGCTAAGCAGGGTGGAGCCACCATGAGTTGGGAGGGTGGGACTGCTGGGAGTTGGAGGATGGAACTACTGGAACTCCTGTGATAAGAAGGTATTGGTCAGGCTTATGGTAAGTTTGGGAGAATGGTCCCTGCTCCATAGCTACAGAACTCAGTTGATGACACTCCCTGAATCTGCCTGGACCTCTATATCTTGGGCCCAGGCAGCTGACTCCTCTTCAGAGTGTGGGATTTACAGGGTGGGGACACAGTGATTTTGGAGGGTGGGTCTCTTGTTTTCTTCTGGGCTGAAGCCTTATGTAGGGTAGTACTCCACCCAAGAAAGATGGCATCTGCAGTGTTGGAGAGGGACTCAGCACAAAAACTCTGCAGTTGTCTCTTTACCTCTCTGTCACCACAAAACCCAGCCTCTTATCACATGACTCTATTCCAGTCTGTCCTTTCTCTGCCAGAGCCCAGGATGAATGGCTGCAAATGAGACTTTGTGCACTGTCCCTTTAAAAAGTCACCTGAGTCTCCAGAAGATACCTTTCTGGCCCTGGTGGACAGAATCCCTGCAGATTTTTCACAGCCAAATATTATGTGAGCACATCTTTCTGGTTCTGGTGCTCTAGGCTGGGGAGCCTAGCTTGAGGTTTAGATGCTATGCTTTTCAGAGGGAAATCCCCACAGCTGTGATAGCTCCCTGGATTCTCAGCTGCTGCCCAGGGAAGCAGGGCCAGCCCTTTTCATGTCTCTACCCTTCCTACCAGTCTCAATGTGGCTTCTTCTGTAAATCCTTTGTCAGATGACTTCTGTTCTGCTAGTCTTCAGTTGGTTATTCAGTCTGACTTTTCTATATTTTAGTTGTAGTTTCAGTTTGGTCACAGGAGGTGATGTTAACTTCCATCTATACCACAACCATCTTGGATCCCTATACCTTACTTTAAAAATAAACTTTCAAAAGTATAACTCAAGTATTAACTTTTCTGTAAAAATATTTTAAAACCTATTATAAACAGTTTTAAAAACTGTTTTTTCTTTTATTAGCTGTAAATAAAATTATAAATATAACCATAAAAAGTCTTTTAAATGTACAAATTATATTTAAATATTTTTATATAATACACATTTAGTTTGGCCTTGTATTCAGCTGAGTACAGAGGGTTTATTCCACAAGTTAGTTTTAACTGTTTTTATTCATAGCTGTGTTTGTGATTCATGGACCAAAGCTGATTGTGTTATAGCATAAGTCATTTAAAGTGTTAGCCATAATAAGCCATGTTAATGCATAGTAAGACTATTAATGTTAGGCATGATAAGATTATTAATATCAGGTTTTATATCAGTTATCTTACTGAATCTCAGGCACATGAAAATATAAGGAGAAAATAAACTTGTGATATCATTTTGATGTTGATTTGAAATCATTAAATTTTAAAGCATATATTTATAAACTATGTATTTAGTAAAGTACAGCATAAAGAATATGGTCAATAATATTGAGATAACTACATAAAGTATAAGATTGTCTAACCATTGTGCTGTACACCTAAAACTAATATAAAATAATATTGAATATAAACTGCAATTAAAACATTAGTTTCTTAAAAAATAGAAACCATGTATTTAATAATTAATATTTTATTTTTGCTCCTAAAAGTGTGAATCAATGGAGCCATGAGAAGGAACACTTTCATCTTAAAAGGCGCAAGTTAAATTCTTATTTGTTGTCATGGACATAGTATGCGTCTTTCAGTGAAAAAAAATACATGTTTGTACTGGTTAACTAAGTTAGGCTTACACAATGTTATTTTAGACAAGTAATAAAGAATTTAAAGACATAAACAGGAACAAAAAGTTATGTTTTGCAACACTCTAAAAATATGTTATCTAATAACAAAGAAAAATGATTGCTACCTTCTGGATGAAAGAGAAAACTAAGAAATATATCTGAGGTGTTGAACATAAAACAACATTATTATAAATGTCAATATTTATGGGCTACTGTGAAAGCAGTAGTAAAAAAAAACAAGTTCTCATAAAGCTTAAAACAGACAACCATTTAAATATCTTAACAACTTAAATTATTGTAAAGTCAAGGGTTTCTTCTAAATTTTTACTTTATGTGATAGTGAAGGCAACTGTTTATAAACTGGCATTCATGAATACAATATATAATATACATGAAAAATATTCACAGAGTCATCCATTATTCTGTAAGCATTCCTATTGTCTAACTACTGCTATCAATTGTAATGTTGGAAGCACTTTATCAACAATGACTGATTAGAAAAAAGAGAAATATATCTGTCATTAAGACAGACCTCTGATAGTGGAAGCTTATTGGTATTGGTACTGTATATAAACCTACATCCACTGTGTTGTATACCTGGAATAAATATAATATTGTATGTCAATTATACATTAATAAAAGTAAATAAATAAAATTCCAAAATAAAAATATGATTGATTTCTCAACATTCTGCCCCATAATTTTTGTGGGAATACTCTGTGTTCTACTTTGTCCTATGGCCATGTTAATCTTTCATTGCAATGCATTTTCTTAGATCAGCTGCAGTTTTTTCTAGTTGTTGAATGTCCCATTGCCATTGCCTTCTATTTGACTGAAGCTTGTTCACCTGACAATGCAAACGCTTAAGAATTGCGCCATATCTCTTATGTTGTACCTATAAAAAGAAGAACACATGTCAACAGGACTAGAGAAGGATAAATAGTAAATAGCCAGAATGTTTTTATTATCCTAAAGAGGTAAGCACTTGATTAGGAATTATTCACAGTAAAGGATAATAATAAAATAAACAGTATTATAACTTTTGACACATACATGTTACTGTGCTTTTTACATATAATTCTCATAACACCTTATTATGTGGATACTATGACACCCACTTTTGTATAAAGAAACAAAAGAGCAAAAGGATTAAGTAATTTAACCAAAGTTTCACATCTAGCAAGTGATGATGTTTGGGATGTGAAGCATCTGTGACAGAGTGCCTTTTACTTATCAAGCAGTTACCAGTTAAGAGCAATAATTTTATTTCTTTATCTAGTGATTCAGTGAGACATAGACCCATTGACCTAAAAGGTGCAGAACATATCCATTTCCCTGTCATTAAATAGATCAGTGTTTGAGCCAGACACTGAAGCACAGTGAAAAGTGCAAGGGCTTTGGTATCAGGGTACATGAAAGTAAAAAAGTCAACATTCCTGAGATTAGTCCTTTGTATAGTACTGAGACTATACAAAGAACTTTCAAAAAGCTTTATTGAGGTATAATTCACATACCATACAATCCACCATTTAAAGTGTACCATTTAATGGTTTTTATTATATTCACAGGGCTGTGCAGCCATCACCACAATCAATTTCAGAACATTTTCATTAGCCTAAAATGAAACCTAGTGCCCATTAGTAGTGACTCCCCATTTCCCCAGACCCACCCTTTGCACTAGGCAACTACTAATCTACTTTCTCTTTATATGTTTAGATTTTCCTATTCTGGGAGTTTTACAAAGTGTATCATATGGTATGTGGTCTTTTGTGACTAGCTTCTTTCACTTAATGTTTTTAAGGGCCATCCATGCTTTAGCATGTATAAATACTCCATTCCCTTTTATTGCCAAGTAATATTTCATTGGAAGATATACTACATTTTATTTATCCATTTTATCATTTGATGGACATTTGAGTTGCTTCCACTTTTTGGTTATTATGGATAATGCTTCCATGAATATTCATGTACAAATTTTTTGTGGACATGTTTTCTCTTCTTGGGGGTATAAGCGGTTTGTCCAGAAAGTATCCACCTACACAATGTGAAAAATGGAAACTTTTATTGAAGAAGATACAAGAAACATACATAGGAAAATAATGCCTCAGTCCCCTCAAAGTAGGCACCTTGGGACCTCACACAGTTCTTCCAATTACAATCAGCTGCCCTGTCATATTTTCCTAATCTCATCAATGGTCTCTTCTCTCCCCTTTCAAAGGTGATTTTAGTTTTGAGAAAAGTCAGAAGTCACAGAGCACCAAATCTGGGCTGTAAGGGGACTGAGTCAACTGGGTGATTTCATGTTTCACGAAAAAAGTCTGCATGAGATGTGATACATGAGTGAGCACATTGTCACAATAAAGCTTCCAATGACCCATAGCTCCAGCCTTCTGAATCATCCAAATGGTTTCCATGGAGGGATATTTAAGCTTAATGCAAAATTTGACGCAGATTTGTTGTTCTACTTGCTCAGTCATTTCGAATGCAATGTCCACACAGTACACATGCTCACTCAACAGTGTCTACTGTCCCCGATGACTAATACAAATAAAGATCAATTTGTCAAAACACCATGTCACCAAATTTATCAAAGTAACATATCAAAAATAAGTTTATAGCCTAAGAGGAATGTAGGGAGACAAGACCCTGGGTTTCTTGGGCCTTAAGATTCTGTCCCCAACCTGTCTCCCTTTTCTCTACCCCTCAGCTGTCATTGGGACCCAGATTATACCACTTGTTGACTCTCATCTTTCTCCCCCAGCAAAATGTCTCATTTTTCTTTCCCAGCTCCTCACTTAGTTAAAGGCTTCCTTACCTTTGTTATGGAATAGATCGTTTTGACAGTATGGTTAAAACTATGGATTCCTTAGAATGATGTTTTTCAATGCACAGAATGTGGAGAAAAGGGAGGTATATGGGGAATAAATGGTAATGAAATACAATAAAAATCTAAATATAAACCCATAAAATAAAACATAGAGGATTACAAAAAAGACAAATTATATTGAAGCACAGTTCTGCAGCAGAGGAGGGTAACTGAAATGAAGATACTCTAAGCATTACAACATACAGAAACAAAAACAAAGTGAAAACCTGTCAATTAGTACCACATAAATTGCTACAAAATTTGTACATTTTTGTAAGTTTTCAATTTTTGGTAGTTCTGCAAATTCTGAAAATTCATTCAAATTGGTGATCTTGGCTTGCTGATGATAACTTGGTAAAATAAAAAATGACTTAAAAAAGATTAGAAATAAATATGGAATAAACTGAAATATATTAAGTGATAAAGCTATACTCAAGATTTTTTATACATTGAATATATTCAAGAGGATGCATATCCATTTATATATGTATATATTACATATGCATATATATAGCAGTTATAATAATCGGAACAAATTTTTGGTTAATCAATAAATTTGGTTGGTGGTAAATTAACCTGCTTCTGAAATTGTTCTTCAAAAGTTAAAGTATGAAATGAATACACAACAGATCAGAATAGAGATGTGCAAGTTCCCCAGAGCTAGTGCTAAGTATCTTACTTATACATCTTGTTTATGTCTATCTCTCCAACTAGAATGAAAGTTCCACGAGGGCAGGGATTTTTATCAACTTATTTTGTTCACCACTCTATATTTAGAACTAAAAAGGATAATGGACACATTGTCTGAACTCAATAAATGTGTTGAATAAATTAATGAGACAATTTTTGTAAATCAAAGGGCTGCAACCCTGTTTTGAGAAGAACATTATATAAAATATATTGCTAAATCTTTATTGTTCACAATTCTCCATACATGTGACAAACATTTACACAAGGTTATTGTTTTACCATGGAGAACATACCTCACTTAAAAGATTTAGTGCTCACTTGCTGCCATTTGAATATGTCATGTAACCTCTTGTTCTTCAGCTGTTTAATTTAAAGAGTGATGGTTAAATATTTTAATGAAAGTATAAATATACAGATTTTTTTAGTGCAGGTCAACTTTTGACAAATTTATATACCCACATTTTGTGTATGTATTGCTGACTAATATTTCATATGAGCATACCACAATTTTCTTATCCATTCTGCTTTTGAGGCACAGTTTGAGGGACATTTGTGATGTTTCTATCTTAAGATTATTATTAATAAGGCTTCTGTGAGCATTCATATGCAAGTTTTTTTCAAGGACATGTCATTTTTCTTAAGTAAACAGTCAGTGAGGGAATTGCTAAGACATAGTTTAGGTGTATGCTAACATTTAAAAAAACTGTGAAGCCACTTTCCAAAACAATCACACTATTTTATAATCTCAACAAAAATGCACAAAAATTTTGGCTGCTCCACACCCTTGACAACATTTGGCAGTATCATTTGTTGTAATTTTGACAATTCTATTGAGTGTGAAATGTTACCTTTTCATTTTTTATGGCTTCCTTCTTCATTTCTCTGATTGTTAAATATGCCAAGTATCTTTTCATGTACTTATTGGCCATCTTATGCCTTCTTTTGTGAAATTGCTATTTACATATTTTACCTATTTTTAGAAATGATTATAGGAGTTCATTATCTACAAGTCCTGGGCATAAATCCTTTCTAGGATATACATGTTGCAAATACTCTTACTCCTTCTATAATTTTGTCTTTTCATTTTCTTTAAACTTTTTTCAATTACAGTTTACATTGAATATTATTTATATTAATTTCTGTATAGCATAGAGGTTAGACAATTCTAATTTAATGAAGTGATACTCCTGATAAGTCTAGTATCCACCAGATACCATACATAGTTATTATAGTATTATTGACTATATCCTGTACTTTACATCCCTGTGACTATTTTGTATCTACCAATTTGTACTTCTTAATCCCTTTACCTTTTTCACCCAGCTGTCCCATCCTCCCCCATGTGGAAACCTTCAGTTTTTTCTCTGTATCTATGAGTCTGTTTCTGTTTTGCTTGTTTATTTTGTTTTTAGGATTCACAAATAAGTGAAATCATATGGTATTTTTCTTTCTTTGACTTATTTCACTTAGCATAATATCCTCTAGGTCCACCCATGCTATTGTAAATGGTAAAGTTTCATTCTTTTTCTGGTGGAGTAATATTCTATTGTATGTACAGTATGCACTACCTCCTCTTTAGCCATTCATTTATTGATGGGTACTTCATTGTCTTTTCATTTGCTTGATGGTGTCTTTTGAAGAATAGAAGTCTCAAAGTTTGAAATCCAATATGTCATTTTTTTCCTTTATCATTAGTACATTTTGTGTCCTAAGAAATCTTTGGTTGACCTAACATAATGAAGATATTCTCCTATTGTTTCTTCTAAAAGTTTAACAGTTTTAGCTTTCCTGCTTAGATCTCTGATCCATTTCAAATAGTTTTGTGTGTGTTGTGAGGTAGGCAGAGGGGTCCATTGTTTCCATATAGATATTTGGTTGTTCCAGCATCATTTATGATAAGACTTTCTTCTTCATTGAATTATCTTGAAATCTTCATAAAATTGACAAAATGTGATTGATTTTTAAACTCTACTCTGTTCCATTGGTCCATTTATCTTTCACCAATACACACTTTCTTGATAACAGTAGCTTCATAATAAATCTTACTATAAGACAGGGTAAATATTACAACTTTGTTCTTCTTTTTCAAGATTGTTTTGGCTAACTAGACCCTTTGCATTTGCATATAAATTTTAAATGTTTGTCAATATCTACAAAAACACCTACTGCTATGTTTTTATAATCATTTTTATTGTTATTCTATTACAGTTGTCCCAATTTTACCCCTTTGCTCTCCTCTGCCCATCCCACCCCTGCTCCTACAGTCAGTTCCCACACTGTTGTCCATGTCCATGGGTCATTCATTCATGTTCTTTGTCTAGTATCTTCCCCTTCTTTCC